AACATATAGACAACTGTGATGGTCCGGGAAAAAGTCCGTAAAACGAAACAAATTACGCACTTCAGTCCCCGACAGTGCAAATATGCGAGTTAGCAACAACAGGTTTTCCTGTCATCCTCTAGGAGCAAATGATTATGAACAACGTTGATGTCTGAACACGACTGGAAAAAACATACTTAGCACGGATTCAGAATGAATACCTTTTGAAGTATCAATAAATACACTATCTTAGATCCCTGTTTTGATATAGAAGTTAGAACCATGTAAATACCGACAACATTTTATGAATGATTACACCTTGAAAATCCTATAGAAGTGTAGATATGATTCCTTCCTTGATAGCATATCTCTCAAATATGGATTATTTTCGGTTTTAGAACAACGCTTGTGCAGGCACTCGAATTTAATGGCAAAATACGAGTGCAAACTCATTAGATTCATCCATTCAGATGACACTGACCAAGTCTCTTTCCTCCCCTATGGGGCACTAGACACTGTGGTTTGACTGAGACTTCGGATAGGGCAATGTGTTGTGAAGGTGCAGTCTTTCCCTGAGGAATCTTAACAGCACCCGGGGTAGAAAAGTGACACATTTATTATACTTGAAAACAGTTACATCCAGTAGTAAATTCACACTGAACAAATTTGAATGTTTTATTTAGATTAGGTCTGTTCACAATGGTGTGTAAGTTTAAACATGCTCAAGAACGGTATCGAAAAGCCAAACTACAACAGAAATGCTAGTAACTTTCATGAATAGCACTGACGATGTGTGGCATGTATTCCAGCAAAAGTTGAAACTCTCTCTTATTGGATGGTGAACTAAGCAGTATTGGTGGTTTATATTGTTATGATTTAAAGAACCCCTTCCTCGGGTGTTTTGATCCAACGGATATAAAACAGATATGATTTAAATTCTACTAAAAGTACTTTTCCGAAAGGAAATTCAACTGAGTGTACTTTATAGTTGCAACCTAATTCGTTTCAATGCATCGGCAGTGTGTGTGATCAATAAACTCTAACTCCAAGGTCCGTCTAATGCTACTGTGATGGCTTATGTATTATCAGGGGTCAGAGGGTGAGCCATGAGCAATAAGATCACAATCATTGGTTGGAAAGAGGCTGACTACTGCGCTAGCCAAAAAATAGTCGCTTGGTTGATGAACCCGTTCATGATTTTCATACTCGCTCGCAAATGGTAGGTAGACGAATAAGAAGAGCAGTAATTCCGCATCAAAACTCATTGATGGTTGACCAGTCGATCGTAAGAAAGCCAAGGTGAGTGACGTTAGACAGTTAACATGGGTCCTAAAAACGAACTGTTAGCATATTTTGACAGTGGATTGTACGTGTTGCGTGATTACCCTAAATGCGTCAAGCTAGCCAATAAGGTGAGCAGAGATTTTGATCCAGCGTTGGAAGAGCATAATGCGATTTGCTTTCCAAGCGCCTCAGCATGGTCCGGCACGAGCTAATTGACACATATATCCCAGGCTTTTCGAAATGATCTGTGGTTTGGGCAACCGACCAGCGCAACAGTAACCAATATTAACAGGATGGAGAGAACGGGACAATACACAACATTTATTGGTCTTAGTTTCCATTACATCCAGTGTTCACACCTTGTTTGTTTCAGGCAACCAATACAAAACTCAGTTGAACAGTGATTTTTTCGGGCTAATCTTCAGGAGAACGACTCAACAACGCATACCCAAAGCAAACAATAGTTGTATGGTTGTGCCCATGTTCCGTTCAGAAAGGCGTGTTCGTTTTTAGGGGGAATGTGATGAAAATTGGCTGTTTTTGTTTGTAACGGAATTGGGATTGCGAGGAACCACCCAACACATAAGTCATGTGGTAGACAAGAGCGAACAAGCTAGACTTACCAGATTAACATGCAGTGTGAGCAAGAAGGCATTCAACCAGATTACCGTGTCGGCATCGAAGCTCAAATAGAAAGGTTTCAGTTGAGCAAACAGAACACAGGGAAGAGCTGTTAGTGGGTGTAACCAAAAGGAAAGTGAAGAGGGAAATCGGTGGGAAAGATAAACGGGGAGGGGAGAGAATGTTGAGCGATTGCAAATTCTCGCTGAGCGTAGTATGTTAGGTTAATTATCAGACAGAATGAAAAAGCGTGACATGCAAGAAAAGACAACTGAATATAATTAATTGCGCTATTAAGAATATTTTTATAATTGACAGAAAGTTGCCATCAGGGTATTCAGTTCTATAACAGATAAATATTATTTAATAGGAATTAAGACGATCTAGTGTGAGCAAATTTTGGCTGTGTAACAAGAAATTTCTAAATGCAGAAATCTTAGGAGTGGTATCTTATTATGTCCACGAAAGTGACAGTATGTTTTTTTTTAATTCTTTACCTCCTATATTGAACACAATTGTAAAAACTATTCCCGGGAAAGGGAAGCGGTCTAACAACGGGTTGACGTATCATGATATAGACAAAGGGGAAAGCTAGGTGGCGGAAGTGTGGTTCGAAGACATGACCTTGGGAGCGATGTGATCGTGATCACCGTTATCCTTCGACGAACAACCGCACAGCCTCATTCCGAGTCTCGTTAACGCTTTTTCTCACAGCTTTTCTGTATTCTTCCATTGAAGTGGAAAAAAATAACAGAATGACCAACAATGTTACCTTAAACAAACGGCTTGCAACAATAATGTCCCGAAATTTCCCAGTTTACTTAAATGAGAGTCCGATAGGGCAGTGTGTTGGTGGTATTCGCAATTGCTGTGCCAACAGAGTAATTACCGGAACAAGGGTTATCATAAGCGTAAGTTAACGAAATAAATGAAAATGTGAAAATTCAGTACAGCAACGCTACGCGATTTACGCCCTGGACGATTCCACCATATCTCAACTGGGGCCAACTGCCGACAAATACAATGTTTATATATACGATTGGGGAGAGGATTTAAAAGCAAGCATAAACCTGAATGGGGGATGGGTCACCAAGGGAAAGATAGGGTGAAGAGCAAGTCGTTCTTCTGACACAACAGGGTTTTCAACAGATTGACTGCAATCGCTTAGGCGATTTTGAGCATTTTCGCATTATCGTTGGTATAGATCAGTAAAAATGACTTTTCCGGGTCAAAGAGGATACAAGCTAATCTGGTGGATTTAGAGCGACAATATAGAACGATGTTGTCCAAACAAAGCTCCTTATTAAAAACAGAACATTTAGCAACCAACAAAGAAATTCAATTCAGAAATAATTTCATGACTATAGACCCCGATAAAGGCTCGAGCGCAGTAATACTCGTCCGAATATATTACGTGCACAACACAGAACCTGTTCTGAGTGATTCGATTCGATGAAGTTTCTGCCTGAACTATCATGGAACGATTCGACAGACGTGAGGCAGGAAATTGCTGTCAAACCCCTTTCCTTCGTGAAGGTCATTTAATCGATGAGAGCGCGGGCGTAAAACCGAAACCTTTCTCGACAACCGTATGAACTGCCAAAATTACATAAACCTAGTCTACTACTGAGAGCAAACCTGTCAATGAGGAACTCACCACAAGACCAATTGGTAAAGTGGCTCTTCAACGTATTGCAGCCACTGAGAAATTCTATGAAGTATACTGTGACATGGTAAAACAATCAGGTCAAATAAACAATTTCAATAAACAAATGGCTTCGCTGGACGTACACTTCTTGTTTACCAATGTTCCCGTTCGTGAAGTTATTCGTATAATTTGCGATCAATTGAAACGGAAAAAGTGAGAAATGGTCTGCCCGTCTCCATTCCTGAGATACTCCCATTACTCTATACTAGTTATGTCTACTTTACATTCAAGGAAAAAATATGCAGACAAGCTGACGGTGTTGATATAGGAAGACTGTTGGGGCAGGTTCTAGCTGATTACTTCACAGTACATTTGGAACCCCATGTTCAGAATTCATGGAAACGAACTGTGTTGAACAGAAGATGTCTAATATGTTCTCATTATCATGGATAACCTAAAACAAGCGGAGAACATCCTTAGAGGTCTAAATCGACAGTATTCAAACATTCAATTCACCATGATAACTGATCAGAACAATAGACAGGGTTTCCTTAACATCACTCTCGCTCGAAAGTTAGATGGAGCCATGTCAAGATCGGTGTACCGTAAACAAACTTAGACCGATCAGTACATGCCTTATTGAAGTGTTGTGCTAACTTCATTTAGACGTGGTCTTATTTATACCCCATTTGACAGAGTCCAACACATTTCAATCAACGACATGAAAACAAAACGAGATGAGTCAGCTGCGTAACACTGATAAAAATAGTTATCTCAAGGAAATTGTTGAAAAGCATAGGAAACTGAAGGCCAAATAGGCAATCAGTACGTCAACGTCTAAATTGGAGGTTAGGATTTGTCTCTGGTTCAAAGGCGATGGTGTAACTAATCTTTTCCATCGACCTTTCTAATCGGTTGTCAAGCGGATTAACTAACTACACAGTCAAACTTAGAATTTTCCACAGTTAAAAAAGGCTCGTCTTTGTACGACAAATCAAACTTCATCTACCAATCTAAATGCAGTTGTGGTGACAAATAGGTAGAACAGGAAGGCAATTACGTAATCGGGTTTCACGACGTTTAAAACAAGGTTGATATGTCGAATTCAATACAGCCGGCTACTGATATGGGCCGTGAATTACGAAACACCAAGTTCTTCGATTGGCAGACCTTTGTTGATGACGCAACATCCCATCGTAAATCGTAAATCACTTCTAGTAATCTATATCAACGATAATGCCAGAATGCTCAAGATTACCCAAGCGATTGCAATTAATCTGTTGAAGACCCTGTTATGTCAACAGAACGACTTTTTCTCTATTGTGTCCTTGCCCTGGTGTGTCCCTTCTTTCATCGTATATATTTAAACATTATATTTGTCTGCATTAGGTCCCAGTTGAGATACAGTGAAATGGTATAGGACATAAATCGCACAGTGTAGCCGAACTGGATTTTCTTTTCAAACTTATCAGGGGAGAAACCCGTCCGTTTCTGACAAGAAAAACTGTTTCACAGCAAGTTTCTTCAGCAGACGTTCGTGGTCTTTGTACATTCCAACTAAGGAGAAATGGTTAGAAAATCCAATGAACTCTAACAGATTGGGAAGGGAAATACACTGGTGACATGACGTACCAGATTGATCCATCGTACGACTGCGAATAGTCCCGTGTGGACGATATGTGGTGCGCAATTCGACTGTGATCAGATTCGTGCTATCTGCAAGACAGTGCAATTTCTTATCAGAAGCCAAGAACAAATTGGCTGCGGACGGTAGTTCCTCACCGGAATATTTTGAACGACTGGGAGTTGTTGTGGTTGCAGGACCAGAGGATTTTGGACACGGCACGTTACTGTCTGGAAAGGAGACGCGAGACACATCCAGATCGCAAATGCGTAAAATTAGAACGCTCTGAATCACTCTCAGATCGGGACTGGACATCACGGAGATTAGCGGAGTCGATGTGTCCGTGGGCAAGTTGAGCAAGGGATCGGCAGGCGGTTGTTTCATCTGGTCTGAACGTGTTTGCGGGAAATGAGCACGATTTAAGCTAGCTAACCAGTTGTCTCGTGCTTCACGAAAATCCCTAGAGCCGGACCAGCGCACTTGAGGTAAGGCTAAGGAAGAGAGAAAGAGAACAAAATACATTCATCAGCCTTGAATTGGCAGAAAGATAAGAATCAAAATTGTCATGCACGCTGATAAACATCACGGGAATCCAGAAGGGAATTCGCCGCAGCGTAGAAAACAACGGCACTTTTCTGAGTGCTTCACAAATGGTTCAGTGCCCCAACTTAGCAGGATAGTCAAAATTCAGAGAAAATTAGCCACACTCTTTATCATTGGAAACAGCTGAGGAATAGATCGACATACGTTAAAACCAAAGAATTCATAACAGCATGCGAAAGAAAAGTTGTATTACATTAAGTGATTTTGAAGCCCACAAAAAGATTAGAGAAGTGCAGAAAAAACACACGGAAGATCATGCTCGTAGATTTCCGGTTCGCTAAATGTTGAAAAGCACTAATACCTGAGATACCCTGAGAGTTTAATGTCAATTAGGTTTTTTCTATAGAGATTCATTTTCCTCCAATTTTGCGGATATACACCATGAAGCTGCTTTAATAACCGTTGAAATTCGTCAACTGCTAGTTTTTATCTCTCATTGTATTGCTCATTTGGTGTTTGGACGAGAGAATTATAAATGAGGGATAGAGAAGAGCAGTTGAACAATAAAGGGTTAGTCTATTGGTCAATCATTTATGAGGAGGCGGAGAACTATCACGACTAATTTTACTCTGCAACGATCAATGACCATCGAATGCTGAATGAGAATGGGAAAAATCCCGACAAACACTTCCGAAATTACCCCCTGGTTGGTTAATTTGCCGGTGTACAAATTCAAGCACATACCATAGGTGACTGAGTTTCATCAAACCGAATTATCGTTGCGAGAGACCGCATTGCGATAAAATCGGATTGGTAAGAACGGTAAACAGGATAGAACTTTAAACGCGAAGGAAATGAGATGTTGACGAGTTAAATATGGTAGGTACTACAGGAGCACCGCAGATGTACTTTAATTTACTACGCACACAAGGACAACAATGATTGAATTAGATGTGCAGATGCTTAAAACTTTGGTTGTGTTGCGTACACATTCGCCTTCATTCCCGAGCACAACTACATGACGAATAAATGCAATCAACCATGATCTTGACAAAAAAGTTGAATAATTCAAGTAGTCAACAAAAAAATAAGTGATTGATAATTTAGGTTATACCTTCCCGTCACTTTACTGGATTTATTTCATCAAGGAGTAAAGGACTTAAGTATACACAAACGAAACTTTATGAGCAATAAAACTTAAGCAGAAGCCCACGCGTGCCCTCACCTCGGCAGGTGAACGGCTGGAAGTCGTCAGTCACTTTGCATAGTTCAGGATTTATATCACACCGGGTTAAGGTGAGTGGAACCTATGTAAGCGTTGGGAAGACCCACCTGATTTTCTCTAGTACGGGGCAAACATTATACCAGTCTAACTCTGAGAGATCAACAGCATAGTGTCAAAGTAGATGCGGTGTTACTTGACAAATCTGAAACCTGGCCAGTTCGAGCTAAAGATACCCATCGTTTAGAGGTATTCCGTAACTGTCGTCGGTTGCGTTTGGTGGGAGCGATACATGAGTATGGATAGATTGCTCTAACGATCTTTATACCTTTCCCTCAAAACTATTATCTCACTAAACCATTGGTGATTGTTTGGACCGTTGTTGAGAATGACAGGCCGGCGGTTACCATTGTGCCCCCAGCGAATGCCTCCCGGGGCACGATTGGAAATTTCATCCAGGTACGTTAGAGCTTTGGTGGGATAGAATGAGAAAGTTAGCATAAGTTGTCTAGTCGACTTCCAGGATGGAACATGAAGAGTCTGGTTCTAAACCCTTGAGAAGCACGAATATTATTCGTACTCAACGGCGGCGCTATTTAAACTTCAACTGTTTCTCCACATCGTAACTAAAATAAAACTGGAAATACAAAGCAATAAAAAAAGCACGGCGAAAATTTTACTCTCTTAATCGCACATTTCTTTAGTTCTTGTCCTTCAAAACCTGTTTCCAACCAATTTCCTAAACTAGTACACTGTGACTTGATTACTGCGTGGTGTGAAACCAGACCAGTATGAAATAAATATCTATAAATAGGTATTATTTTAAAAAACCTTTTGTATCAGTATCCCGCACGCACGAGCGAGGCGGTCGCAGGCATGACCGGACAAACATCTATTTGGTCAGACTTCCTCCGTGTTTCAGTCAACACAACCGATAACTACGCACTCTCGCGCAGTGGCTTTGGTTGCTGTCTCATGAATGATGATGATAGATGAAAGAGTGGACGAAAAATTGGAATCTTGGAAGCAGCATCGAAGAGAACATGGAGGATCCTGGTAGAGTAAAGTTTCAAAGAGATTGAGAAGATATGTGTGCCTCTGTCTGCGATACTGTTATGCCCCCAACTGCAGTGAGAGTGAGAAATGAACCAACCCTGTACTGTAGCAACATTTTACACTTCGGAGGTGAAAAACGCATACTCAACATGGCACTCAAACCATTTATAAAAGCGTGGTAAAACGCTCGGTTTACCGCAAACCGATCTGGACTGGGTAATACTCCAATTTTTCCGGTTTTGTGCCTCTGAAACTCAAGAGAAACCTAGTCCAAACCCTCGCGTATCGAGCAAGGAGAATTTGTTCAGCAAACTGTTTAACTCGGGAACTGAAAAGCATAAAGCAAACACTGTTCGACAACGGTTATCCGGAACGATTCGTTTTGAAGAATTTGACAGAATAGCCGTCGAGAGTACCACTGACAACAGTCAAAAGAAAAGAACTTTTCTTAAGACTTCGTTTTATAAATGATTGTAAGTCTGAGTTATAAAGACACCGACTGGAAAAGGCCATCACTCGTACTTTCCCTGCCAACGAATGGTCTCGTAAACCTTAAAGATACATTGTCTATCCTCTCCTCATCTATGATCATTTACCACTTTCTTTGCTCATGTTCGGCAAGTTATGTAGAAAGAACGATCAGTCAGGGTTATTTACAAAGTACCAGCAAACCCATCTAAAGCTGTGTCAACGGCACCTTGCTATAGCCGAGGCGGTGGTTATCCACCTACTCAATCCATCCCTTTGTTCTTAAAAGTGATTCGTTCAATCACTTCATTTACCCTGTCCTCAACACGACACAGCCGAGTGAAACGACCGTGACCTTTGTCATGACCGATGGGCGCAGACCGGAAATAAAACAGTGACTGTGATCATTTCCCAACCCCACAACAACAAAAAACTCTGCCCTTTCACTTTCAAACCACATATCACAAGATCACAAACAACCAATCATATTCATCACATCAAACCATTACACTAGTTTGACGATTTTGAACCCCATATATAACTGTATAACTGTATTAGCCCGAGGAAGAAGTCACCGAAAACAAGCTTTTTTCCTACAGTATTATCGTAACATTTAGAAAAAGCCTGCAACTTACCCGTATTTTCACTTAGCAGTGGCAATGTCGTCCGCATGCTTTAGATCTGTCTTCTAGCCTTCTATCTATGAGCATTTTGATACTGCTATCATCCCACACGGACAAGACTGTTTCTAGAAGCAGATCCATTAAAAAGTTGCATTGAAAACGAAAGATAGCAACCCTAACGAATACCTCTTTCCAGGGATAACTGGAGTGAAAAAGTGCCGTAAGCTCAAACGCGGGTTCGGCTATTAGAATAAAAGGATTGTATAAATGGAATAAATTTCTGACACACTCCAGAGAGAAGCGGCACCAGGATGTATAGCGGTCGACCGATTTGAATGCTGAAATTGCGGGTCCACGAAAGGAATGCCTGTCTTTAAGAATTTAGAGAATGTGGTCGATACCACCTCAAATAGGTGCAAAACCTGCCTGATTCTCCGGCGTGCACCATTCACGTGCGGCAGACAATCGACGGAGTGTAATACCAGCGCGAAGTTTAGATAAAGTGGTTTTCATAAGAGTATCTATTGTCTTTCTTGTAAATCGGTAAGAAGATCGGCTTACACCACTCAGTTAGAACCTGTTCCCTCTCCCATGCTGAACCAATGAGTTCCGTCAACTCGAGCTTCTCAATCATTAAAACGAGATGAGTACCAGTTCTTCTGGGCTGCAGGCTTTATAAATGCAAGATAACTCATTTCCCATGTAACTTCTATTTCAGGTGGATGGCTGATATCAACTGACAGTAGTTACCAGTTGAGGGAGGAGTGGACAAGTCTAATGACGATGGGCGGTCAGTTGAACTGTGCCTTAAAATGGCACTGCTGACTAAAAACCACTGTACCATCGAACCCCTTGATTACTTCACTTCTGTCCACGTTTCTTGAACCCGTTCATCTGACAAACGATAAAGATTGCGACTGTTATTGAAAGTTGCAGCCTCTTATTTCTACCCACCACTTCTCGCGGTCATTCCTCAAATCCTTGATGAGTTGGCATCTAAGGAATTTGAGCGCTGTCTCATTTGGCATTTGGTGGAACTATTATGCGAGCTTCCAGGAAGGTAGTTTAGATCAAAGAGATTCCTTGTTTTTGCTTTGATCGTGGGCCAGAATGCACCGTTGTTTTCATTGATATTTAGACATAAGTGGTCGCATAAAGGTTGGTCAACTCGGCAGTTATTGAAACTGAGAAGCTTTTGTGCAACCATGTATTTACTTTTATTGGTTTCAAATAATCAGAGGCCATTCAGTTCTTGTTAATCCACCCTGTACATAAACAATACCATCGAACAAGATGCGACTATTTCGCAGAGCCATTCCAACATCCCAATGAACCTGGATTTTCTCAGTTGTGCCATAAGTCCCGGTTGGTGAACAGTGATGGGTGTCTAAACTGCGAATTTAACAACTGCAACTAAACAGTAAAGCCATTAACTATATTAGAAATAAGGCAGTGCGTAAAATATTTCATCACAGTTTTCAGTTTGTTTAAACAACTATTAAGCATGCATTTCCGTGCGACGCTTTTCATTGCTGTCTTTTGGCTACCTATTTGGGTGAACAATAGGAGGAAAACATAAAGGTTGAAACCAGGATCGAAGAGAAAATTGAGAAGTTCAGTGAACTAATGATACAGAGAAATTGAGATGCACGAACTCCACTGTTTACGACACCCAGCCACGTCACTCAGTGACTCTAACCATCGGGTACGACCATCCTGAGGTCCGCATCCAGGGAGCCTAACGGGGTTTATGTGACTCAGACACCTGGTTAGGGTTTTCATACCATCATTCCAGGTTTTAGCTTAACCACACTGGGCTTTATTCCACCCACTACCTGCCCCGACAAACATCGCTCATCGTGGCAGCCTATTGGATGACATGCGTAACACATGCCTCAAACAACGCAATCTATGGAGGTCGACCACTTGCTCCAGTGGACGACCGCGACTACCTCAGAATTGCTCGTCCGGCTGCCCCACCAGATTCGCGCAATGATGCGTAGACAGCGGTGTTCAAACACCGACAGTCCATCTTTATCCTGTTTCCTTAATGGTCAGGTTTCTGTTCCATATAGCAGAACTGGTCGAACTGCTGCAGCATACACTCGACCCTTCACAGAGAGCCGAATGTCGCGACGGCGCCACAGATGTCTCAAGTCGGCAAATTGAATAAAAAACATCAGAACCCCAACTGTCTGGGCACGAGCTGACCAACTGAACAGTTCCAAATATGTGGAAATGTGAGGATCCGTCAGACACCAATGTGAGTGTGTTTCTGTGGAAGCGATATATTGTGAAGCTCTCGTGGGACATACATGTAATGCTAATAATCATGACCATTACCATTGATTTCATCAAGGCAGAACGCGCCAGTTGTGAAGCACAGTCCTTAATTATGCATATTCACACGAGGATGTTATTCCTCAAACCCATGGACGGCACACATGGTTGATACGGAACTGGTGTGAACAACCTAATCATACGATCCCGCAGTTGATATAAAAATGCCCACTCACAACCAAAGAGGCCGTAAAAGTGAGTGTATCAATAATTCTAGCTGATTTTTTTACGTTCTACAACGCCTCATTGATAGTATGGTTAACACAAACACACACCAAGCAAACAAATGGAAGGAAGCGAAAATAGACCTCATAGGAAGATTGACAGGACTAATCAACCCAAAATACGGGGTCGAGGGGGTTTCCATATCGGTGTGAGCATCCACAATGATCTTACCATACGAAAAAAGCGATAGATATTCCAAAAGATTGAACCACCTTCCCTATTTTCGTATTTCCCCCGGGAAGCTTTTGATTATTCATAGTTCTCTTCCTGAAAATTAACTGTATATTTACGTATTCATTAAATGAAAATAAATTAAAAATATCGTGCAATTCTTCTTTTTGTTGATTTAAAATGACCAGGAGTACCACGTGGATTCGATCTATCACGAAGGCGCACAATATCTATAAGGTAGATTCCATGGTAAAAGGGGATCAGGAAAAACAGTTAGAGGTGCTTTTAGTGACCGGGCAATTCGAGCTATTCGTGCTTACTTACATTGCATTGTCAAGTTCAGTTCTTTTTGTACTCCATTGTGTACCGTTGTGTGCTAAAAATTCACCCTACAGAATACTTTGACTGAGATTGATGGCTTCCAGAAATTACGCTAAACTGCCTTCGGTGTACTACGCGTACCTGAACATCGTATTGTTTGTGGTTTTGGGAAATGAATGAAAGAAGCTTTGTGGTGGTCAGCCAGCTAATTATTTAATTCATTTTCAATATCGGCCCTTTCGAGTATACCTGCAGCAAATGGTCAAAATACCCGAGGGAGGACTACGTGCGAATTTTTAAAG